CAGCAGTGGAATTCTGAAGGGCTGTAATGAATATGATGATGATGACTCCTCATCTTCCTCCTTATCCATCTTATAAGAATCTATTTAAAGGAACTAGCAGCATTTTTAGGAAACATTGCGTCGCGTAGCCAACAAGTTGGTTTTAAATTGCTTTGTCCCAGCGATTTAAAAAAATACAACACGGTTTCATTTGAGATTAGCTCGAGAACTATGATACAAAAGTACTCCGACATCAAAACCGCGGGTTGACCTTTATTTAATTTTATTACGCGACAGTGTGAAATAAGGCCAACCCTATTCTGTTAGTTACGCTCGTTAATTTTAACATATTATGAAGTCTTTTCAACTTGTAATCACGTTGCAGTCTTTCAAGTTTGAATTCGCAATTTTGATTGAAAATAACAGTGTTGTTCAGTGTTTTAAATTAAAGTCAAATAGGGTCGTGTTTTTGTTTTTATTAATTAGTGGCTTGTACCGATTTTTTGGGTTGGAATCTATTAATGTAGCTTTATTTCGAAAATAATCAAAGATTTATTTTATAAATATTGTATTTTAAAAAAATAAGTTTTTCGGATTAAATATAACCTAGATCCCTCCTAACGTTGTTCTCTATCTGTTTGTAAAATTTTGATTCAGCAATTCCTACAGCCTATTAAAATCTTATGCTTAGCTTAGGCCTTCCCTATAGATAGCAAAACACAGCTTGACTTTAACACAAGGCCATCGTATGTTACTATGGCCTTGTGTACTAAAAATAATCGCTGTTTTATTTCAAAATCCAGTGTTCACCCTAATACTAGGGTAATAAAATACAGTCTATATAGGCACATACGACTGGCGACTGATGACTCAAGATTGGAACCATTTCCAAAGGCATCCGTCATTTTAGTCGTTAAATTTTTCTTTTAAGAATTAGTTTGTGATCGGAATCGACCATCTTCCTCTGGTGTTACCCCAACCTCGTAGCCTCGAACCCAGCGTAGTGTGGTATTTGTCTGTGAATTGCAGATTTATAATTGGATGATCCTTGATCGGGACATATGGTGAAGAGACAGTCCTCTTCACCAACCTGATGATGATCATCATAAACCTGACATAGAAAGCTAGAAATGCTTTGTCACGTCTGAGGATCATGATGAATGCCTTACAGTTATTTCGATACTACGATCGATTGACGATAGAAATAGGTACGATGGTACCTAACCCAGTCTCAGCCCAGAACAAAATACTACCACCTATTTATAAAGCGAAAGCCCTTAAATATTTTATTTCTTAGAAATGCAGGCTTTGTCAAGATTTTCCTTCCCCACCAAACACGAGGTTAAAAATTTAATACACAATTTTTTTGATGCTGGCGGGGATCGAAATCAGGCTGCTCGCATACTGTGGAAGATAACGAAAATTTTCCTTAGTTATAAAATAAGTAATAATATAATAAACAATTTTCAAAACCTTTAAATTAAAATGAAATAGAATAAAATCACTAAAATAATTTACTAAGAATAATAAAAATAAACTTTAAACCATAAAGACAATGTTTTTTTCATTGCATAATGACATTATTTTAATAACAGTGTTATCCGGAAAGCTCTCATCTCTATAAATGCAAAAACCTTCTGATCACTCATTTCAGGGCTGGGGCGTTGTCAATAGTGTCTGGACTTGGATTTAGCCGTATATATGAGCATTTGAGACTTGACTTACATTTTTGCTCTCGACTAGACTAGACTGTCAGTCCGTGGGCTCCACGTGCAGTGAAGTTCCTTTAAGAACTGTATTCACAACTCGTCATCGCCACTAGTAAACAAGAGGGCTGGTTCTTTTCTTGATAAAAGGTTAAGTATAACCATTCAGCGTGGAAACGCAGTCATCGTTCTTGACACTATACCGCTGAAAGTCAGACTGTACGATAATTTTAGATTTAAGATATCTTTTATTATTATTACATTTGATATTAATATGATTTATAAAAAAATTAAAATTATGCAGCTAAAAAAGTGATAAATACTTTTGTCCAAGAACACGCGGTGTGACGGTAGGACAACTTAATGACACACTCACGTTTTCAGCTAGCGCTACAAAATCAAAAGCAACGCACTAGCTCGCAGTTTTGTTTTAAAATAAATCAAGAAAGAAGCATTATTGTCTAATCAAATTAAACGTTATGAAGAGATTCACAGTAATAGCAGAGTATCAGCACAACTAAATGGATCAGTATCATCAGATCATCAATAGGATCAGGTCATTGAAATCAACAGTTTTACGACGGATCAATAAGCAAAAGTAACAATCTGCCAGTCATATATGTAACTCGAAGAACCGACAACTGATGGTGAAGAGAGGTAATATCTAGTGTTAGCCTTTTAATTGGAGGCTAAGTGAATCCCTCTCCCCCTCTTTACTAGAAAATAATAGAATAGATTTTCAGAGAAGACCTGAGGATGGCCATGTTCAGCAGAGATCCAATATTATTAAGCGTAGTAACGTACATATATATGTATATATGTTAAGAGCCTTGTTAGATTTCAAAGAAATATACCTGTTTCTTTTAATATTTAATGTTTTTACCTTGTTTATTTTTGCTACGGACAAGTTTCTATCGCAGTTGCATTATTACGCTTTATACACTTTTTTGGATTTTAGTTTAATTTAACACCATTATATTTTTAATTTTATAACTGTATATAAGTGTCTGTTTGTATATGTACCTTAGTCAATAAAATAAAATAAATAAAACTATAAGAAGTAAGTTCGATGAACGAGCAACCTCTATCTGATCACCTAACCGTAAATGAATGCTGTTACTATAATTTCATAATTAGTTACGAGTAAAAAAAGTATGTGTACGCATAATGATGGCGTTCAAAATCTATTTAAACGATGTGACACTGTTCGTTTCATTTATAAAGTGTCAAAATGAGTTTCCTTTGATGCGCCATTTTGAAATTAATAACGTGCTGAATGAATGAACATACCATCGCCCTTAAGCGAGAGATCATAATGAAAATGAAAATGGTGTGGGGGGTCGCAATGCTCGTATGTGTATGTATATACGCTATGCAAGCAATATTATTTTAAGCTCCCCAGCTTCGCCTGGGTGGGATCTATAAATGTGGAGTTAGATAATCATCAAAGACCACTTATTATATTAATTTTTCGATTTAAAAGAATCCATTATTTCGTAAATAACATAGTCTACATTACTCCTGGTATTGCACTCTACGTGTTAATGAAGTTTAATCACAATTAGTTCTGCCATTTTGAAAATTATTTCGGACAGACAGACATACAAAAGATAAAATTTTGAAAAAAGGATATTTATATCTTAATGGCATTCTGCCCGCAAGAGGCAGGAGACAATAGTATATTTAATTACGAGTACGGAAAGCCTGTCATTGCAAAGTTCCGACAAATGTCTACCCGAACCGAGGCGCAGCCGAAGGTGAGGGTTAACGGTCGGAACAAGTTGCAGTGACGGTTCCGCACGTGTACTGAACAACTATTTTTAAAACAGTTGCGAAAAAAATTAAGCAATTTAATAAAATAATAAAAACACAATAATCTCAACTAACTAATCATTTATTTCTTATAAAAGTTATAATTCACATATACATTGAAATTGGTATAGTTTTTTTTTTATACTAACTGGGGAAGTTTTAGGTTGCATATTTACTGTTTGAGACAAACTATTATTAATTTCGTATGATTGTTCATGTATATTTGTCAAAGGTGTTATACAATGGCGTTTGCTAGTTGATGGAATTGGATATGATGAATTATTGTTATCAACGAAGGTAGATGGACGAACGTTCTCTTCAGTATTTTCATGTGAAGGAGACGGACTGGACTTTAAATTAATGGATTGTGTGATTTTTTCCAGTTTCTAGTTTGTTGTTTAATGAATCAGCAATATAGCCATCTGCAACTTTGTCTGATTTCCAACCTCCTAGTCGCTTTAAGGACGTCAAATAGGCTCCTGAATCTGCCAATAATGTAGCAGAGGTTCTCCTGAAGCTGTGCCCAGTATAATACTCAGCATCCGGCAGACCAAGAAACGTTGCTATTTCTTTTGTCATATTACCAAAGGAGGCAATCAATTTTTTGTCAATCAATTTGTGATAAATTGTCACAGCTTCGTTCAGCTAATTTGAATTGCGTAACTCGAGCTCAAAATCGAGTTACCTGAATTTCAACTCGAGTCGATATCTTTCCGAGTTATCACGGCATATCTCTAAGACAATTATTTTTTAAATATTATATCACCTTAGCCAATGATCTGAACAATATGACTATCAAAACAACTCTTTTTTTTTCTACATTTCTTGATTCTGTTTCGGTTTTCAAAAAATCTTTATGTTACGTATTATTTGGAAGTTGTAAATAAATCTTATTAATAACTATGAATATGTACGAGTACCCACAAAACACTTGACGATAATAAACAGTTAGAAATTAAAAACACTAATTCTTTGTTGTAAGTAAACTGAGAGACAGTTATGGTGATCGAAAAAATTCGGACTCAAAAACTTTTGCAATATCCGCGTTGATGCGAATGCGATTTATTGGAGTTCCTGCTTCCCGACGTGCTAAAATTCGGCCTCCCTTCGTCCAAACATATCGCCATCCCTGCTTGCGGCCTGTTTCGCGTGCCATGCGAAACAACTGCCTATTTGTTTTAGTCAGTCGTTATTTTATAGATATTGCAGGGTGCGGACTTAAGATCTAGAGCCACGGTTGTTAGAGACCGGCGGACGCGCGCAGCGCGCAGCACGTGATTACGCACGTCGCTCCGCAAAAGCCGCACAGCGATAGGCCGCGGACGAGACATGGCATCCGCCCACTCGCATACAATTGACCAGTTCCTTTTCCTCCAAATGAATACCAAGCTTGGTTACAACTGTAAGAACTAAGTGTATTGGGTTCTCCCCACTCTCTTCTGGAATGTCACTTAATTCGACGTCATTTGCAAGCAAGTCCTGGTCCCTATCGTTTAAGTCGGCTTACATCTGATTGACGGTAGACTTGAGTTTTAGGATTTCACTTTTGATTCCTTGAGAGCCATATTGCTCTTGTGATTCCAGGATAGTTGATACCGTGTTTTCGAGCGTATCTAAACGAGCATCGCATTTGCTGACAAGGGTTGTTATGTCCCGAAGTTCTTCTCTGAATGCCCGAAATTCTTCGCGGGTTTGCCGCATTTCTTCTTGGAAACTTCGCAATTCCTCCCCAAGGTTTGAAACCTCACTCGAATTAGCAACAGTCATTGCTGAGGGTTTTACTGGCGTTGTGTCCTTGTTGCAACGTTTTTCTTTCAATTTGCATTCAGGGCAAGCCCAGGATGGCATTAGTGAAGCGCCCACTGCGATGCCTACACGCACGATGTAGCTGTTTACTGCACTTTGTACAATTAACATTAGCGCCATCTTGCGGAAACATGTATTTACCGCACGCACTGCACTTAGCTGCCATGATTAATAAGTTTTAATAGTTGATAAAGCTAATTTATGCGTTGATTTACTAGTACACAACGAAGGCGTTAGATGGAGCTGTGTTGATCAGTATTATATGACGGTATTATATTATTAAATTTTATTCGATGACATTTAAAAATAAAATGTTTTTAATATGTAAATGTTAAAATTTTACTATTTATTCACTAATCACTAAACACTAATGTATCCACACTCTATATAAGGCAGTACACAGATGTTTAACTTTTGCTCAAAATTTCAGACTTAAACAACGTCCAAATAATTTTAAATTTACATAAACTCTTCTGATTCACTAACTATGTATCTCAGTACATGCGTCAGTGACGTTACTCAACACTCTCACTCTAGAGTGCCAATGAAAGTGGTATATGGGCAAAATAAAAATGTGGGCTCCTTTGTGTGCAATAAAGGTAATTGTAGAGCCCGATCCAGGGTAGCTCTTGGCAAGGGCCTGTTTTGAAAATATTAAAATATCATTGCCACGGGTGTTCTATCTGATGTACTGTTATGCACATCGCTGGAGCTATGAAGATACAATCCTTGAAGCTATGGATTATATGCATTATCTATGGCAACTGTCTGCGATTGGTTCAATTACTGCTGGGAGACAGTCGTCATTTGCCAAATAGAGCAATAAGAGGCCATCAGCGAGATTGGTCGTCCAGGAAAATTTGTCCAAATAGACGAGTCAAAATTTGGAAAATGAAAATATAATAAAGGTAATGTGATTTTCTTATATTAAAAACTGAAACAATTTATTTAAAGTAACTTTTAAACCCAAAATATCTTTTAAATTTACTTTTAAGGCCAAATTATCTGGAAGAAATCACTTTCAGAGTAATAACACAGCCTGTTGTACATATTCTAATATAAAATTTTGTTTTTGTATTTTTTTTTTTGTAATTTTGTACTGTTGCATTTTGGTGTACAATATAGAGTAAATAAATAAATAAATATCTTGAATATTTACTAACTATAAGTTGTTTATGGGAAGGCGGATTGAGGGCCACTAGATCCTCGGCCTCATTGAAGATGGAAGTGAGGATTTACGACTAGAGGTGTGCACTTAAAACATCAGGTCAGCGAACATACTAGTGCCCCTAATTAAAAAACATGTGGCTGAGGGCACCACAGTCCATACCGATTTCTGGAGGGCTTATGATTTTTTGGGGGAACATGGGTACATTCACAAGAAGGTAAACCATTCCGATCCTGATAACCCATTTGTTGCCCCTGATGGCACTCATACTCAAAGGATCGAATCACAATGGCGAGTGGTTAAAAGATTCTTTAATAAATACAATTATAACCACCCGGAAAACTTTCCAGATATTATTATAGAATATTTGTGGAATAGGTCAGACCAAAGAAAAAAAAGGTATCCTTTTATGGAATTAATTAAAGTAATTAACCATGTCTACAAATAAATGATTTTATAATATTATATTTGGTCGTTTCTTTTGATCAAACCCTAGTACCAGAAGGTATAAATCACAAAACTGAATCTGTCAACCCCACCTTCCACGTGGTCTTTCCGCTCTTACCCCTAGAGTGTATATGAAAACCCGGAAGCGAGGAGGGAATGCAGCCCTTGCTCGATGTAACTAAGTGCAGGCAGCGTACGAGCCGTAGCGGCTGAGGCCGAAGGCGACCAAACAGCCGAAGCTGCGCAGGTGAGCTAGAGGTTCCCCCCTCCCCCCAGCGCCCAGCTTCCCCGCCCACTCAGCGACCATATACTGATGCAGCAGATTACGAAAGAAATACCCTCCTCTCTGCGGCAAGCTCCATCAACGCCAAAAATTAGCGCAACCTACAAAAAAAGGGATTTGATTATAATTTTTAAATAATATATTGACTGTATTTTGCGATTTCGGAAACTGAATACTAAAGAAAAATATAAGTATTTATTAATAAATTACCTTTGTGGCTAAATAATGATCATCGGGAGGTTCGTTCAAAAACCTTTCCACTTCATTCGATGTTAATATTTTCGACTTTTTAGTTGTAAAGCCGTCTTATTGTCGTTTTGAGAAAGCATTTAGTTTTAGATTTTCACTTATATCCACGTTGTTCCTTATTTTGAGCATACTTTTTATCATCAAAAACCTCGACCATAATGTAGAAGGTTTTAATTTTGCTGAGAGTTAGGAGAAGTATGCCAACATAACATTTTCTGAAAAACTATTTGCTTTTTTCTCTTCTCTCAAAGCAATAAATTCGTTGTATGTATGTAGCGACTTTTTGACTTTTCCGGTAACATGTTCTCCGAAGCATTTTGTGCAACTATACTGAGTCCCGGTGGTGTTAATTCAAATAAAATATCGTCGAAATTACTCATTTTGCGCAACAAACAATTAAACACGCAAAAAACAATCCAAACATAAACAATTAAATTTTAAGCTAAATATTAATAAATTAAAGGAAATAAGGTCTACCAAGTTTCTGGGAGTAGTCATAGACCAGGACCTAAACTGGAAATTACATATAGAGTCTTTGTGTAATCGTATTAATAGTTTTGTATATGCCCTTAACAAAATGAGAAAAGTGACAAACTTACAAACGGCTCTTATTACATACCACGCGTATATAGCTTCCATTTTGCGCTACGGGATAATAATGTGGGGAAATAGCACAAATATACAAAAGGCGTTTATAGCTCAAAAAAAGTGTATTAGAGCTATCTCTGGAATACCGCCTGGCATATCCTGTAGAACAGTTTTTGCAAATCTCAACATACTTCCGCTGCCGGCACTATATATTTTTGAAATAAGCTGTTTCGTGAAGAGAAATATCAATTTGTTTATGAAAGCAAGTGACATGAACACAAGATTGAAGCGAAATCCCAATAGACTTGTGTTAGACGTTATCCCAAGGTCAGCTAAATACCATAAAAGTTGCCTAAAAATGTGTTTAACGATATATAACATAATTCCTAATGACATCAAAAATTTAAATATTAATCAATTTAAATCAAAATTATTTAAGTGGCTCATTGACAGAAAAATATATGACATTAAAGACTTTATTGACATCAATCCCTAATACTATTCATGTTATATTATATATTTTAATTTATCTTCAATTCAATGTAATTTATTGTAATGAGACTTTGTGATATTATTTTTATGATTATACAAGATAATAATATTAATTTTGCATGCTATTTGTAATAGCGAGACATGTGCACCTTTTTAACATGTACCACCTTTATATACCATGTTCTTACGCAAATAAAAATTCTGATTCTGATTCTGATTCTGAACATTTTTGGAAAATGGCGTCAACCGTATAAGAATATAAGCGGAGATTTTTTTCGTTTTCTTCACCCATTCTGGGTAGGAAAAGGGAATTATGCCCATACAGCCAAGTCTTCAGTAATTTTTTTTTATTGATATGAAATGAAAATGAAATTCAAATGAGATGAAATGAAATGAAACCTAACCTAAGTCATTGAATCAAATCATTAAATCTGACTTTGAAGCAAATTAGTAGCTTTTTAGAAATATTTGCATGAATCATAAAAACTTCTATCAACTTTTTTTTAGTAAAAACTTCGTGCTTGGTTTTTTATTTTTAATAGAGATTATTTCGGCAGTTGGGAAAGAGAACGCACAAGTTCGGAAAAGGTAAAGAAAAAGCACGAGTATGTAACGCCACTTTTTGAGCAACTGTATTAAAAAAAATATCCCCTGATTATATGCACTTCATCATCATCATCATTACAGCCCTTCACAAGTCCACTGCTGAACATAGGCCTCCCCCAAGGTATGCCACAAAGCACGGTCCTGAGCCACCTGCATCCATCGACTTCCTGCATGACTTACCAGGTCGTCACTCAATCTAGTGGGGGGTCACTCTACACTTCGCCTACTGGTACGAGGCTGCCACTCACGAACCCTTCTTCCCCAACGGTTGTCTGTTCTTCGAGCTATATGGCCGGCCCATTGCCACTTCAGCTTACTAATCCGTTGGGTTATGTCGGTCACTCTAGTTCTACTGCGGATATCTTCATTTCTAAGTTTATCACGCGGAGAAACTCCGAGCATAGCCCTCTCCATAGCTCGCTGAGTGACTTTGAGCTTCTTCATATGGCCAGCAGTGAAGGACCACGTCTCGGTTCCATAGGTCATCACTGGCAAAACGCACTAGTTTTACAACTTAGTTTTCAGATTTTGACGTATACCTGACGAGAAGATGCGTCGTAATTTCCCGAACGCTGCCCAGCGGAGTTGAATCCGTCCATTGAACTCTCGGTCGAAGTTGGACTTATCTAGTCGGACTATTACTTATATAGTCGGTCCCAGGTAAACGTACTCGTCAACAACTTCTATCTTAGTGCTCCCAACAATACCGGCATAGGTGTGATATGGAAATTAAACATGATCTTTGTTTTGTCCATGTTCATCTTAAGACCTATCCGTTGGGAGGCACTATTGAGGTCATTGAGCATAGTGCTTAATTCCTCCAGCGATTCTGCCATAAGGAGTATATCGTCGGCATATCGAAGGTGAGTGATGTACTCGCCATTGATGTTAATACCATATCCTTTCCAGTCCAGTAGCTTGAAAACGTCTTCCAATGCAGCGGTGAAGAGTTTCGGGGATATAACGTCACCCTGTCCTACACCTCTGTGCAGTTGGATAGGTTTCGTTCTCTGGTTCTGTACTCGGATAGCCATCGTAGCCCTACTGTACAAACAGTTCAGCACTTATGTATGTACTTACAAGAGATAAAATTATCTTGTCCTTATACCAGAGCACGCAAACAGGGGAAAGGAGAAGTACTCGTATATTCCCCTTTGACATAACGAGTAGACATATATCTCCCGTCCGTAGCATGGGACCAAATGAAAGAGAAAACATTATGATTTTTTTGACATTCGAAAGGGACAATTTTATCACCGTTCTTTGAAAGTGGGTTTATCTTCAAAC